TTGGCAAATCTTGTCAGTAGATTTTCTTTAGCATTTTAACTGTGCACCTTGTTGTATGTCCTTTAAAAGTGTTTTATCTCTTATTTTAATGGTGTTGTATCCTCCCTCGAGCTGCAAGGAGAGGAAGGTAAACAAATCCATTATTATTATTACTATTTATCAACATTATCTAAATTTAGGGTCTACGTGATATTTTTGAAACCTATACTGATGTGATGGATGATTGAAAGGTGGATTCTCTCCTGGTTGCTGACCATAAATAAAGATCTGATCTGAATTCTCTCTGGCATGTCAACTTTTCTTTTTTAACACCTACAAAAACATGTTACCTCAAATAAAGTCCTACAAGCGCAGAGCAAACTGTACACATTTCTGGATACAACACAAGTCTCCATCAGCGTCTGCTGGATAACTTGACTTAACCCAGAGATGCTCGTCCAATATATGTTAGTTATTGAGTCAGAGCATTCTGAGAACAGGATAAACTGAAACATTTCCAACTGTTAATCTTAAAGCTCTTCCAATTGTTTGAAGTGCTACTCTTCCACATAAAGAGGTGCACAGAATCATAGGAGTTGTAAAAGACCACATGGCACATCTAGTTCTAGTCCAACCCCCTCCATGCAGGAAAAGCACAATCAAAATACCCCTGATAAATAGACATCCACACTCCAAAGGAGGAGCTTCCACCACATCCTGAAGTAGTGAGTTCCACTGATGAAAAGCTCTTACAGAAAGCTTCAGATTAGAAAGGTGAGAAACCATGCTTGAGGGATGCAAATAAGGAGGCACAGACTTCTGATTTTTAGCTTTTTTTCAACTTTATTTGGTTGTTTTACCCTTCTATTTGGACAGTGATATCTTAAAGAATATTGTAAAAAGTATTATTTTTCTTGGGAACAGACTGTCTGTTCACCAGATTGCACACTACTTTGGTGAAGGAGTCTGATGATTTGCCACAACTACTGATAGGACTTAGAAGAAATGTTCAATGACACAAGCAGTCACTAATTGCACAAGAGGTAAACTATGTCATGATGTGAATTATCTATGTCAGGGGTCCGCAAACTTTTAAAACAGAGGGCCAGGTAACAGTCCCTCAAACTGTTGGAGGGCTGGATTATAATATGAAAAAAACATAAAAGAATTCCTATGCACACTGCACATATCTTGTTTGTAGTGCAAAAACACTTAAAAACAATACAATAATTGAAATGAAGAACAATTTCAACAAATATAAAATTATTAGTATTTCAATGGGGAAGTGTGGGCCTACTTTTGGCTGATGAGATAGGATTGTTGTTATTGTTGTGTGCTTTCAAGTCGTTTCACACTTAGGTTGATCCTGAGCGAGGGCTGGGTAAATTACCTTGGAGGGTCGCATCCGGCCCCCGGGCCTTAGTTTGAGGACCCCTGATCTATGTATTGACGGGAGTTTAACTTACGGAAGAACATTTAGTTCTGTTTATTTCCAAATCTGCAAGTATTTTTATTTTACAGCAACCAGAGATAAAAAATAGAATGTGGATGAAAATAGATACTTCACCCACTGAAAGCAAAAGACTTTAAGTGTCTAGCTCTTTAAAGTCTTGGAATCCCTATTTATTCAACCATGCCTGAACCAAAGAACTAGGGTTGTCACTTCTTTTCCCTGAGAAACTCCTCATTGTTTAACAATGTACAACATTGTCCTCTTGACATTTATCATAGGTGTATCAATTGAATTTAACCAATGTGTGAACTTTGTTTCTGATTATCATTAGCAAGTTTTTTATGTTTCTTCAAAAATTGCAAAAGATTGAGATTTTAAAAATATGTGAACATGGAAGAAAGGAAAACACATTTGTCCATTCATAGATCCATCTGAAGAGTAACTAGCTGATATTTGGGGAAGACAAGATTTCTGAAACCAGAGTATTCTTTGTGCTATTTGGACAAGCTTAAGAAGCTACACAAAGGTTTCATAGTGTTTGAGGACAATATTGGAATTGGAAGAGATCACAATAGCCATCCATTCCTACCCCCCTGCCATGCAGGAACATCCAATCAAAGCACTCCCAGCAGATGGCCATCTATGTGACATCCTTTCAAATATTTAAACGTGGCTATCTTGTCCCCATCTCAGCCTTCTTTTCTCCAAGCTAAACATACCCAGCTCCCTCAGCAATTCCCCACAGAGCATGGTTTGCCAGCCTTTGATAATTTTGGTTGCCCTTTTCTGTACACATTCTAGCTTGTTAATATTGTTCTTGAACTGTCGTGCCCAGAACTGGACACAGTATTCTAGGTGATGTCTGACCAAAGCAAGTGGTACTATGATTTCCCTTGATCTAAATGTTACACACATATTGAAGCAGTCTGAATCACTGTGCTTTTTTAGCTGCTGCATCACACTGTTGATTCACGTTGAGATTGTGGTCTACTAACATTCCTAAATCCCTTTCACATATGCTATTTTCAAGTCAGTGCCTCCCATCCTATATCTGCCAATTTCAATTTTTTTCTGCCTAAGCATAGTCCCTTACATTTCTTCCTGTTGTTTTTAATCTGTTAAGGTCATTGTGAATTCTGATCCTGTGTAATCTAAGAATTTGATAAGCATGCCTTCTATTCCATCATCCAAGTCACTGATAAAAATATTGACTAGCACTGGGCCCTGGACAGACCCTGTGGCACTCCACTGGTCACTTCTCTTCAGGAGGTACCTTGTCAAAGGCCTAATTAAAATCAAGATATACTACATCCACAGCAGTCCCTTCATCTACCAAGCTTGCAACTTTATCCAAGAAAAGAGAGAGGGAGTGAGGGAGGGAGGGAGAAATTTAGTCTGGCAAGACTTGTTTTTGAGAAACTCACCTTAGTGGCATTTCTTTCTAAATTCTTACAGATTATCTGTTTAATGATCTGTTCAAGAATCTTTCCAGGTATTGACATCAGGCTGACTTGGTGGTAGTTAAGTCCACTTCCCCCCTTTTTGAAGATGAGGACACTTGCCTCCCCTCAGTCTGCTGGAACTTCTCCTATTCTACAAGGCATGTGAAAGAGGACTGACAGAGGTTCTGGAATGACTTCTGCTTGTTCTCAATTACCTCTGGAAGTAATTCATCTCACCCTGGGGACTTGAATGAATTCATTTAGATTATTAGCCAGATACCCCTGTGCTGCCTCTTTGTCTATTCTGCATTTCCCCTAGGGAATTTTCAGCTCCATTATCCCCAAATTGAACATTGTTGATCTTTTGGGAGAAGACTGAGGCAAAAAAGGTGCTGAGTAGCTCTGCCTTTTCTCTGTCCCCTGACAGCATTTTACCATCACCTGTATGCAACAGACCTACAATTTCCGTGTTCTTCTTTTTGCTAGGGACATAATTAAAAAGCCCCTTTAATTGATTTTAACCTCTCTAGCAAACTTGGGTTCATTTTGTGCTTTGGTTTTAAATCTTTGATCATTTATCTTGTTTTTCACTTCTTGTTCACGTCCCCTTTACATCTTAGAGCCGCCGCAAACTAGCGTCTTGGGAGAGCAAACTGTGCCAGCACGACCGATGACGTCGAAGACTCTGCCTCTCTCTCCGCCTATTTCTCCGCGCCCGTGTGGTTTTCCCTTTGCTAGGGCAGCAATGCGAGCGTACTCTCGCTGTTGACAGAATTCAGAATTTGCGGCGGCTCTTAGTTTAGTTGCAAGTTCCTTAAGACATTCATTCTGTTTTCTTTAGAAACTTCCTGTTTTTCCTCATTGGAACTGCTTAAGATTGTGCCTCCAATACCACACTTTTCAGAAACTTCCATCCATTGCGAATTCCTTTCTCTTTTTATACTCCTGACATTCAGTTTTCCTTAAATTTACTGAAGTCAGCTTTCTTAAAGTTTAGAATGTATGTCTTGACTTCTCCTTTCTGCTGCATAACAAACTCTAGAAAAACACGGTAACTTCCACCTAGATCTAGAATTCGAGACCTGTGATGAACGTAATGTAATGATATTTCTGCACTGTAACTCAATTTGAACTGGCCCTGCAATGCTAGAAACCTGATGTTTGACTAGAACACAAAAACTCTCTGATTGTCTATTAAATTCCAGTCAGCTATCAGTCTGGATGATTCCCATTGGCTTTCTTGTACCACTGGTATATTCCAAAAGAGTTTAGAGAAAGAAGTGAACTCAAGATAATTCATGCAAGTTGGGAAAAGTTGGGAAAAGCAAGAAACACCAATACAGGACCGTGTTCCTACAAATACAATTTAAAAGATGTTTCCTTATTTATGGCACATTTTCCTACTTCACACACTCACCAGTAGGGATGCGGTCCACATCTCTTCAGGAGAGCCAAAAATGTCACCGCTTTTTCTTGTTGGACACAGAAGAGAAGACACCCAAGCCCCATTTCAGCATCCTTGTCTCCCAAGGACCTCCAGCCCTTGTTCACTGTCCATTAGCTTCACTTTTTAGTAGCTTTCTCAGTCAGGCATCTACCATAGTAGCCCTGTCCAGCCCTGTCCTGTCCATACGGGTGCCTTTTGCTTGTATCTCTATGATTGGATACACTGGGCAGGTGCCTGTTAAATCCTACATCAATACTATGTTTGGCCTTCCGTCTTTTTTTTTTGGCTACTACAATTCCAGAAGGGGATGGACAAAACCCTGGTGACAATCTGATTAAAACAAAGGGTATTCTATGAAGGAATATGATGCTGACCAATACAGATACATGTTAGAGATAGGTCCATCAACTAGGCCTACTAAGGGAGCGTGAGGAGAAGACCGAAGATAATTAACTGGGACAGCTTTTGGAATCTATCATAAGTGAGTTCATGCAACAAAGGAAATCATTTCAATCACTAGGATCCCTACAAACACTTTCCCAAAAGGATAACTATTGAAAAAAAGACAACAGTACCAGAACAAGCAATGATATGATGACACAAGAGGGAGTGGATGCCAAAAGGAACTAAGCAACAGTAATGTACACTAAGTGCTAAGGCCAAAAGAACCCCAACTCACCATTTCAGACTTTCATGGGCTGAACCATGATTTCTGAACATGTCAGCATTGCCAGCTCTGCTGCTGCAATGGATTCCAGTTGAACTGTACAGTAACAAACGCCTGGTCCTTACGCAAGGAGAATGCATATCCAGCATTTTGAGACTGCATGTGTCCCTTGCCAAAGCAGTTCCTTGTTCTGCAAGGGGGGGGGGGCAGATTGGGGAGGGGTTAAGAAAGAGAAGCAAGCTACTTTGCTCTCTTTGCAGAAAAAAAAGCCAAGATACTGTATTTCCAAGCATGCAGGGCTACTTAGGGGAGTTTCATTCTGTCAGCCCACCCTGGTATTATACGTCACTGGCACAGGGCCAAGCCTGCACTCCGCTTCCAGGCCACAGGCTACACATTAACCCTCTGCTTGGTCCCTGTTCTGCCCTGCAGATTTCCACCAGGCTGCAAATTCAATCCCCGCCTCTTCACTCGCTTCTGTGCAGTGGTGTCTCTGCCATGGCAACAAGCTTTTCATTGGAGAACTGGAGCTGCTGGTGAGCCAATGGGAAGCCAGGCAGTGTTGCTAGGTTCTCCGGGATGCAATGGGCTGATTATGCCCAAACAAAGCAAGAAAGAGGAGAAGGCGAGAGTCTCCAAAAATACCTCGGTAAAGAACTGGCTCTCCTTCCAGGAACAGGGGCTAGAAATAACCTGCAAAGGGAGACCCAGCAACAACAGAGCTCATGGTGTTGGCATGATGCCACAGCCACTCACCGTAGCCGTGATCTCTCCTGCTCGGTGACTCTCAAGAGCCAGCTGAGTATAAAATTCTCCCCCTGTCCAGAATCTCAGGAGGCGTTTGAGTTGATTTTCGTATCTGCTTCCATCCTTCAATGCAATAGGCAAGGCTGCCTGGCTTGATCACAGTGTCCTAACTGAGCTTGCTTCCTCTTGTGCCAGCCAGAATGCACCTAGTTTCCTCCTCAGCAGAGGTGCACTGCTGCAGTTATGAGGGTTAAAAGAAGCTTTTGCAGATAAAAATATCGCGTTAAAAACTCTTCTAACCATAACTCAGCTGTGTTGCTCCAATGAACAATTAGGAACACCATCCTGTATCCCATGGACTTGAGACGTTAGCCAAAATGACACAGGAGTGAAATTTTCAGCCACGATTTTATTTAACCCAAGACTGTATCTTTTTGAGAGAGAGAAAACCCCTTCTTCTCCTACCAACATATTTCCAAATAAAAATATTACTGATATGAAGACATGAATGGAATTATAGGAAGTTTGAAAACATCAAAGGTATATCAAAGAAGTGCAACCTTAATTATGCCTCTCAGAAATGCCTGAACATTTAAGACAACAAATGCTCATTATGGAAAATTCTAAGGGTCTATGAAGTCATGCGAAAGAATACGGAGGACTCATTGGCTTTCTGAAAAATACAAAGTATATCATTTATAATAGAATGCCACACAAATCAGTGCCATTCCGAGATCTTTCTGACTATACTTTTGCCTTAAACACTGAACACTCAAAAGCATCTTGACTGGCCAAATGTCATCTTTCTTTAAGGAGGTCACTATCCCATGCTTTGTGCTGCTACTTAATGTTTAGAGGCATAAACCAGGTCTGGTAATCGGGGGAGACATGCAGCGACCATACATGTACAACACTGAAGCCAACGGTCAGCATAATTAAAGAATCTTTAAAGCAGTTAAAATGATATGCATCACTCATCTTGAAACAAGACTAAAGTCATACTGCCTCACACCGATACTGTATTGGGGGGACACCTGCATCTGTCATGAAAATACGTGGACTCTGAACAACATCTCAATGACACTGTCAAATCATGATGGTAGAAGGTCAACATGAAAGCTTCAAGTAAAAAACAAAACATACTTCAAACTGTGCCTATAATAGCAGCTTAATGTTGAAATCATGAGTACAATTATTGGAAGCAAATTTTCCATCAAGTTTGGAAGACGTATGTCTGAGTCAGAGTCCAAGACAAAGATACAGAAATGATTCAGGGCACTGTTACCCACATTGTTAGGTCTGTGATCACCAGAGTTCAGGATCTGTCTGAGACCATAGGAATTATTTTTCAATGAATCAAGATTAATGTTGCATTCCTGGACATGGGATATCATGTAGCAACAAAAAGTGTAACTGAAAATACTTCAACTCAGAATTACTGCCTGCTTTTTCTGCTGAATGTTGTACATGGACATTTCACGTATCAAATGCATTTGACTATGGAAAAGAAGTGCACCTAGCAGATATAGCAGTAATATGTTAACATAGATCAACCTACTTGTCATTTTTGGTACTGACAACTCCCACCCCATCCCCATTGTAGTGCTCTTGAATACATAAGCTATGCAGAATCAAACTAAATGTCCACCAGTCAAGTAGCCTTTCAACAGTGGCCAGATTTAGATGTCAAAATGCTTGCAGACACAAATATAAATTATAATTTATGATGATGGGAACTTCTTCAAATACCAGTCTTGCAAGTGCCTCTCCTTCCCTATCTGGCAAGGCCAGAAGTTTCTGGTTTTGTTTTTTAAATGGTACTATAGGCTACAGCTAATTAAAAATTAAAACAAAAGCGTGTATCTCTTCCTCCAAAGTGCACCGAAGGGGAGACAAGGAAAAAGTGAACCCAAAACCCTCAATGCTGTGAAAATAAACCATGGCTAATCATGCCATCAAAACATAGACAATATCCTTTAATAGTTCAGATTGAGTACGCCATTTCCCTCTGTTCTCCTGCAGCTTTTGGCACTTCTATTACTGAAATTCTAATCTTCCATGAATTTGTTTAATAATGTTTTTTTTATTAACATAGTTATGCTGACCACCAGTATGTTTGCTGCCTGTAAACCCCACAGATCAATGTTATGATAAAATGCATACTTAAGTGATACTTGGCACTCTCCAGTTCTAATTTAACTGAATGGTTAAACCTCATTCCACATTCACATTTATTTCATATTCACATTTGTTATCTCTTTCTGACTAGAGGATTCTAATCATTTTAGCCTTTTCTCATACAGAAATTGCTCTTTGAATTTATCAGTTCTAAGATATAGGAAGAACAAGGGTGCAAATAATATTAAAGATGTATATACTTAAGTAAGTTGTATGCAGGATGTCATGATATTAAAGTTTGTCCTGAAGTTGTTCACTTTATACCTGTTTGTAAATCACAGGACACTGAGCTAACATATTTAGGGATGCCCTACATGCCCCTTCCCTCCAAGTTCTTTCACTTTGATTCAGGATAACCAACCATGAAGCAAAAGGGGGAGAATCATCCAATTTGCTGGCTGTTTTTGAAAAAATAGTAATGCCCTACTGTTTAAATATAAATCCCAAAATCAGTATACAAAACTCTGATTATTAATACAGAGTTAATACTGTTACATTTTCTTATGTTCTGCATTTAAAATATTGTGAAATTTTGAGCTTGAATTATTTTATTGAGTGATTTATTATTATGAATCACATAAATTATAGAAGCATCTTAAGTTTAGAAAATTGATGACACAGTCCAAGACACATCCTTGTTTCTACATTAGAATATTCAATTTTCAAATATTCTGGACCAGGAATGAAACAATGAAATGTGCTGCCAGAGCCATTTGGTATCCATCTACATCTACTTAAAAAATCAAGATCTGAAAAGCCATAAATGAGGCCAGGCAGCAGATTACAAATTCACTGAAATTATATTCCTGATCGCCTCATGCATTGTAGTCCCCAAAGACCAATAAAACAGAACCATCAACCTTTCTACTAACATGTCTCTTCTTCTCCTGATCAAAAGTGAATGCACTCACATTATGTGTATTGTCCTTGGCATGAATTGACTTAAGTGTTAAGAAAATAACAAAAGGAAACATTTAATCAGAATAAGAAAATATTATATAAGAACAGAAAGCATTGGGAATTGAAATAAGTTTGAAGCAGAAAGATTGGACTTGTCTCTATAGGGGTTGTATGACTGTTATAATTTCTAAGACAATTGCAGTGCTTTACCCAATAAACACTAATTAATGGAAAGTTGTTTAGAAGCATCATATGACATGTGATAACACCCAACTAATGTAGGCCAACAAAGTAATGTAGGCCAGTAATTTCTCCAGCTTCTGACAAGTCAAAAACACATAAAAGCCAATCTTTTCCCCACAATCACCACCTTTCAGAGCAAAAAGAGAGGTTTTCTTGGTAAGAACTAGGTTTGATGATCCAAACTGTTTGAGAAAAGGTTTAGCCAACTCTGCCCTAAAGAGGACTATCTGAAAAATCAAGGATACAACTGCACAGTATTGTTTATTGGGATCATTTATGTTCCTAAACTCCAATATACCACAGTCACCTATGTGCATTGCTGACTTCCTGTTCATATACGGAGAATCAAAATAAGGGATTATATTCTTTTTACTAGTGATTGCTGCTTTTATGCATGTAGAGAAATGGATTTGCTTCCTAGTCTGCCAAATAAGTTATTTATGCCACAGTATCAACTAGAGTAAGGCCTCAGTATACTAAAGGTCTAGATCTTCTCATTTTGGGAGCTAAGCAGGATCAATCCTGATTTGTACTTAGATGGGGGACCGCCAACAAATGACAGGTGCTGTAGGCTATTTCAGAGGAAGGAACTGTTAAAACTAACTTGGCGTATTCCTTGCCAAAGAAAATCCTACTTAAAAGTGTGCATGTGCCCATACGCTTGCATACACTAACTAGAGCATATAACCATGTTTTTTTTTTCATGTATAAAAAACAAGGGCTCAAAATGACTGAGAACAAATATACACACAGAGAGAGAATAGGATAAATAGGCAGCTAGCAAGTGTGTATTTTGTAAATATCTAGGAAATATAAGATAGCATACCAAGCTATTCACAAGAAGTATCTCTTGAGTTCTCCAGCAATTCTGTCAGAATCCTAAGAGAATCCTTTCTGGCAAGATCCAATGCCAGGTCATACTGATGTTGTTTACACCTATGAAATAATGTCTAATATGGACAAGTCATTTCCCAGACACAAGATGTCTGTCCCATACATATTTGGAATGAACATGTACAACATTTCAGGTTCTTTGCGGAAGTTAAACAGTGGGCACAGACAATTCTATGTTCCTCTTCCAAGTTGTTTCTACTCTAGGGTACTAATAATTTAACTGGTATTTGATTACAACATGGGTAGGAGTCATTAGGGGATACTGGTGTTTCGGAGGCTATGCCATGCCATTGTGGTGACCAGCAACTATGCTATTTTCTCAGAAGAAAAGCCATGTTAACCTTTCGCAGTAGAGAGATGGAATTTTGGGAGAAAAGCACATCAGATGACAGGTTTTTCACATTAAAAAATCATTTTGAAGGCCGGAGAACCAATATGAATGTGTAGCACGTGTTTTTGGT